AGACGAATGTTACCATTCCCAATCTGAGAATGACCCTTACAAACTCGATAATAGGTCCGCACGCATTGCCATGAGTGCTGCCACTCGATGTTAGGTCAGCACGCATTGCCATGAGTGCTGCCACTCGATGTTAGGTCCGCACGCATTGCCATGAGTGCTGTCACTCGATGTTAGGTCCGCACGCATTGCCATGAGTGCTGTCACTCGACGTTAGGTCACCACGCATTGCCATGAGTGCTGCCACTCGATGTTAGGTAAACACTATTCATTAGCTTGAAATTTTCATTACGGTCAACTTTTGATCAATTTCTCATGCTATATCGTGCTATACACTTGTCACCGAATTTTAATTATGTGCTAAATTTACTGCTTCGTTGTAAGTAACCTATATGCATGCTAACGAAAATAATTCAAATGAGTTAACCACTGAGCGTCCATCCTTACCCTGATGATTCACATGACGCTGGTCCACAGCAGGCGTTGCTTAGTAACAGGTCCGCACCTTCTGACTGAATCGACATTTCTGCGAACTCACCGCGGACTCAAGCGCAACTATACGCAACTTCTGGGCAACTCAACCACTTATAGTCTTCAAGTTCCCAACAGATTTGCATGAAATTCAGAATATAACAAATTATTTATTAGCTATTTGCCGTGAAAGACATTAGGAAAGATTTTTACGTCATTACGTTTTTTATTCAAACAAAAAACGCAACGTTTGCTAAACTCAAGCAAGCTAAGGCCTTTAATTCTGAACGGAACTGCTTGAAATTCAGGCTATAATTATTTATAAGCAATACGCCGCTATATAGGAAATATTATAGTTTACAGATTTCTATACTTTTTTTTATTTAAACTGAACCTAAAATAAATGAGGTTGCGTTAGATTAGGCTAAGATAGTTTAGGTTAGGACAGGGTGATTTATGATAGGTTAGATTATGAAGTAATAATAAATAACTCATACCAAAGTAATCTGAACCTAACTAGATAGACTAATATAATCTAATGTTTGAAACTTTCATTTTAATCAAAATGAAATATCGCAAAAATCTATTATAACAATGATAATAAATATAATCGCAGCGTATTGCTACAAATTTGTTATGTTCTGAGTCTCAAGTAAATCTGATCGAAAACGAGGTGACGAAAAAAATTTTGTAATAATTCCTTTCGCGTCATATTGCAAATGAATAATTAGATTCTGAATTTCATACAAATTCGTGGAGAATGGGGAACTTACGTGTAATTTAGCTGCGCAAAAGTTACATTTTGCGTTTGAGTTCGCGGGTGAGTTCGGAGAAGTGTCGATTCGAACACCCTCTGCTCGACCTAAATTGTCTACGAACAAACCACGTTATTAAAACGCCACTTTCCTGTACATGCAATAAGTCGCAGTTAAATTTAAATGAAACGCTCAGAAACATTAAGCATCACTTATTCAAAATGGAATTTCTTCTGCAATTTGTTCTTAATTACATCTACCAACAAAAGAGCTGCGTCTCAAAAACTGTCTGAGAAGCGAGTCCCTCCGATGAATTCTGACTCGATAATTTCCACACGTCGTAGCGCATTACTTCCTCTCCGTGTTCCACTAAAATTGCTTCATCTCAGAAGGAATCAATGATGTAGCTCGACTTGGCATTGAATAAGGCGAACTTGTGTTTGGTTAAGCTGAACTTGCACTTGGCTAAGCTGAACTTGCCTTTGGTTTACCGATGCCGTGTGAATGTTTACCGTTATATTTTGTACAGTTTAGCCCTGTGCCGGTCAATGTACCAAAAATGGTCTCTTAAAATCTCATTCCAAATAAAACGCCCAGCTTCTGCTACGATTTGTATGGAGGCTACGTTATTATGCCTCTGACAATTTCTAATCATATACCCATCCATCAATACGCAGCTTCTCCCACTGCCTTGCACAGGAATGAAATATGAATGTTTATAGAAAAGTTTTGACTTTAGAAATTAAATTGACAATCTTTCCGAGTTTCTTAAAATATCGAATTAATTAACTTCAGTTAATCAACTTGAAACCGCCTGAGAAAATTAAATCAAATTGCAGCTCTATAGTTCCCCTTAGCATTTGAATTGATAGATTGAAAAAAAATTTATATTTTTTTCTATTTTTGTGACCGCTTTTTACAAAATTTTCATCAACGATTTATTCGAATAACATGCAAAATTAAAAAAAAAATCCATACGACTAAAGTTATCTTATAATTATCCATACTTTTTCGCCGTGGCTCCAGAAATTCAAATTCCTAAATATTTCTATACTTGCCTGCGAAAGAGTTGACATTTCATTCAAATTTTCCTGCGTAACGATGTCCAAAGCTAAGAAAATAAACAAATTTCGAAAGATAATGCCCTCGCAGGATTCAGGTGCAAATAACACCATTCATTACAGAGTATCTAAAAAAATTGTAAAACAAAATACTATGCAACCATAAACATTTACTATTTTTACAGAATGTGCAGTCATTGAGATTGGACATCGCAGATACACGCTACTTATGAAAGGGATATTTTACCCATTGGCCACTTGCACCAGGTTTGCAAGTATGAGTGGCTTCCGCTAAATTCAAATGGGCGCGACAGAATTTAGGGCGCCGACGAGGAGAAATATGATGTAGACCCAGGGCTTGGTAAATATTATTCTCTCGCTGGCGTCGTGATGAGTAATTTGAGGCTTCGGAGGATGGTTGCTGTGATTATGTGCTACGACATTTACCGGAGTCTGCACTTGGCCAGACAAGAGAAAGTAATTAACTGTTTGCCAGCATGCCCAGGTCTCGAAGAGGAGTCGGTTTTTGAGAAGCTGCGATTGGAGCAATATTGGTAGAAGAGGTTAGGCAAACTTATGCCGAACATCTTCTTCTTCCACGCCAACTTGATCGGCAAGTGGTTGAATTTTCTGATGGAAAAACGATTGTCTGCCGCCTAAGTAGCTGCATTTAGCAACAGTTTTTTTTTCTAAAAATTTCCGGTTTGTTGGCTTCATATTGGCATAAGACAACAACTTTCAGCTCGCCATAGTTATTGGCGTCGATAAGGGCAGCAGGTAGTCGGGCCAGCAGAGCTGGAGGCAATTTTGAAAAAGCGGTGCAGAATTTCGCGGAAGAGCTTGTAATTCTCTTTATGGTAAATTGGGCTTCTAAAATCTTAAAAGTAAATGGCTGCGGTGCCATCGGTCCATTCAGGAACCAGCACCTCTGCGGCGGAGGTCTCCCTGCCCTCCACGAAGGCGACGTTCATGAGAGAACGACTCCGCTGCTGCGTGTCACGAAAGGTGAGGTTTTGTTGTCACGAAGGGTGTAAAAATGACGCAAATTTTATTCTAGAATGATAGTGTGATGGTAAACCAGATATGTGATGATTAATAGAATCTAGGGGTCACCAATTGTGGGGTAAGTACCAGTCATTGCCAACTCAGTATAAGCAAGATTGGGAATGAAGATACTGGAGCTGAGAGTTTATTGCGGTGTATTAATAACAAGATGTATTGGGACGTAAAATAGAGTTGTGTAATGATAGTGTAAATAATACCCTTGCACCCTTGCCTACATATGCACCTGTTGGAGAGTAAATCTAGTGAATAATCCTTGTTTAAGATGAATTAGGAAATAATAATAAATTATAACAATTTTTAAGACTATTAAGAGGAACCAATATGAATTTAAACTTGCCGTGCTGCGTGCATCAGCCGAAAGCTAATGATTAAAGAGAAAATTGTGAAAGACACGTTATCTTCTTAAACGGTGTTACCAAGTTGGAGAGAAAGTTATAATTTTATTAGAAAGTAAAACTCGTATAATGTGGAACACTACATTACCACCCCGTCTGGTGTAATAAATTGAACCGATATCTGCGTGTACAGCCCAATTCTTCACTATGATTGGCTGAGACAATTTGAAATATCGGATGACGTCACACTGTCGCCAGTCTTTCATGACACCCAAGCTTTTAAATGACTTGAACTTCGTATGTTATTGCAATCAAAGTGTTCAGAAGCTTGATTATTCTATTTCAACAATTCTGCAATAGTAAAGTAAATTTTAGTAGAAATCAATCTCCTGACTAGGAGAAACCTCCGTTGTAATGTTACTAACCTTATATTTATAATTCTATACAACCTAAAGTCCTAAACGGAATGAATGTTTCGTAAACAGGCTTATTGACAATTGATAATTAATAGTTTTATACATTAACAACTCGCCTATCACTGAGCCGACGAACCTCCTTAAATAATATTTCATCAATGTAAATAGAACAACTGCAGCAATTGCGAGTGGTTAAAGATACGAGATTCTAGAGTGCACAACGAGTTGGGGGTTCGATCTCAGTTGGTTGTGAAAGTTTACATCTAAATCAGCAACATTGCTGGGCTGTTANGAGTGGTTAAAGATACGAGATTCTAGAGTGCACAACGAGTTGGGGGTTCGATCTCAGTTGGTTGTGAAAGTTTACATCTAAATCAGCAACATTGCTGGGCTGTTAAGAACGGCAAGGTTGCAGCACTGAGTTGCTGGTTATTTGCAGGGTTGCAGCGAGAGTTGCTGGTTACTTCCCAGTACCCAAATTACAAATTCAATATCCAGTTATTCACCACCTCACCCCCCCTTCTTCTTTTTCTTCATTCATTTTACACTTTTTTCCTTTATAATACACACATCTCACAACAATGTCAAACAATTTTAGTTTTTCTGGCTTTTCGGCCTTCAGACTTTGCAAAATGCACCAAAGAGCAGCCAAACGTTGGCCATTATTTTTCCGTAATGGCCTTATTGTCATTCATGCAGGCTAGCTCACAAAACTAAAGTTCCTGAATCACGGCAATTACTCGGGTAAATACTACCCGAGCACGAGCATTTGGACACAACTTCTGCCTGCCTAAGGAGACTTTTAACCTCAAACTTCGTACTTTGTGAGCAATAAAAAATCTACATTCATGGTGTGACCGGGCACTAGCTTAGATATCTTGCACAGGCAACAGAGTGAAGGCTACGCTTGTGTTGCTCCAATCGAGGCTTGCTTGAGAGTCTGGTGTTGTGGTGCGGTGCCGCTAGGAAAGTGCGGAAGAAGAAAGAGGTGGGCGGAGTTGCCAGTAAGGATTAGGAGAAAAGGTAATGGCAGGGAGAAGCGAAAAAAAGACGCTCTGCGCATAATTAGGTGTATTTATTTGTGATGAATTATAGTACTTTGCTCTAGACTTTTTACAGTTAGGACATGGATATTCTGGATAGGTGTTCAGGGGTCTTGTTTTCGTATTGATACCTAGGAAGTCACGAAAGCTGAAGTGCTATCCTACAACTGTTTCTTTGTTTGTGTATGAATGGTGGTTGTTGTTCACGAATGTGTCGGATGTTTCTTGTTTGTTAATAGGAATAATTTCGAACTTGGTAGTATTGGACATATTAGCCATCCCACGAATTCTTTTGTTGCATGGCGAGTTCTGTTTTTTTTCTGCTTGGTTCTTGGATATTGTCCGGTGGTCATTTTAGTTATTTGTTACAGATTATATAACAAATGCTATACAATCTCTGTATGGCAGTGGTGACGGGAGGTTGTGGGTGTAGAAGATGTAGAGCAGTGGTTCCCAAACCTTTTCAGGCTGGCGCCCCCTTTGGCTCCATAGTGAATTTCTAGCGCCCCCCACAGACGTACGCCTCTTTCTTTAAATTTACTACGCTGCAATTTTAAAATAGAAAGGTTAAACACAAATGTGTATTTCACAAATATAACCCCATTTAGTGAACCAAATAACTTTTTCAGCTATTTCAACTGTTTCAGCACCAGAGACCTAGGACGTCTCGGGCGAATTTACGGCCGGACTCATTGCCGGTCTCACGACCAATCTCCAAATTCAATTGTCAAGTAATATCTTGCAAACAAATGAACGCAGCTCTATGAAACTTGGAACATGTATTCATCATAACCTAACGGTGATGTTTAGCTTGTAAATTTTTCAAAATTTCACCTACATTTGTGAGTTACGCGTATATTGCGAAACAAGCCGAAATTCGCAATGATCAAAGAATTTCCTTCAAACTATTGAACAGATTTGAACGAAATTTTGAATATATATTCCTAACTACCAAACGGTGATTTTCTAGCTTCTAAAATTTTTTCGATTTAACCTTCGTTTGCGATTTTTTTTTCATTTCACCGTTATTCTTGATTTCACACTTGCTTATATTCGGCCCGTATCGCCGGGTAATTGGTCACTTAAATTCGCGGCGGTCAAGAAATTTCTTCTAAACTACAGAACAAATTTCAACGAAACTTTGTATATAATTGCTTAACCTTTCAACGGTGATGTTTAGCTCGTGACAATTTCTTCATTTTGCTTTGGTTCACGAGTTATACAGATATAGGAGGAACGATCGGCTTTTCTACCGGCCGGCTTAACCAAGAGCCGTATACGTATAGCCGCATAACTCGCAAACGAAAGCAAAATGAAAAAATTGTAACGAGCTAAACATCACCGTTGCTGAGGTTAGGTATTTAAATACTAAGTTTCGTTTAAATCTGTTCAACAGTTTGGAAAAAAGTTCTTGATTACTGCAAATTTAAATATTGCTGTTTAAATCACGAATGAAGGTGAATTGAAAAAAAAAAATTCGCGAACGAACAATCTAAAAAATTTCACGAACTAAACATTACCGTTCGGAAGTTAGGACAGCAAATTCAAAATTTCGTTCGAATCTGTTCAGCAGTTTGGAAGAAATTCCTTGATCACTGTGAATTTCGGCCCGTATTGCCATATAACTATGGCAAAAACATACGATGGCAAAATTCAAACAATTTTCACGAGCTAAACATTATCGTTAGGTCCTAATGAACACGTGTACTAAGTTTCATCGAGTTAAGTTCATTAGTTTGAGAGATATTCCATTTGGGAACCACTGCTGTAGAGAGAGGAGAGGGTCGACAAAACCCTAATGGACTCTTGAGTGGAGTTATAGTGGGGGACCTTTGTGATTGCATATTCTAATGAATGCTGTTGTCTGTTGGGTAGCAAGCTAGTGTTTTTGTAAGGGGACTGAGATTAAATTTTATTATTTTGCATTGAGGTTCGGTGTGTCAAACACTGGCAAAGGTCTTGGTCACATCCCGGGAGCGCTATGTTGCGCTAAGTTGGTGGTGTGTCGTTGAGCTCCAGTAGGTGTATATTTAAAAGTATAAGATAATGTGGTTCATGCTGTGTGTATCTCCATGTTTCCTAAAACTGTGTTCTTGTGATGAATATGTTGTGAACTACAAGGATTGCGCACCGCCTGCTGTCAAGTATTTTGCATAAAAGATTTATTTGTATGTCAAGTAATAAAATGGGCCTATGGTTTTAAACTTCGTCTTATTAAACGGTTGATTTTGAGCGTGTGTTCATAAAGATATTCTCTAGATATGCTTCAACAAGGTTTTTTCTATTATGATTTCATTGATTTGTATCACTTAAAATCGTTATCATTAAAAATATACATTTTATTACCGCATTCAGCTTATGGTGCAGTACAACCCATATAGTGTCGTTAGTGGGGGGTGTATATGAAAGGCGTCGAAAACAGTTCATGTGCAATGTGCATGCCGTTGAAGGTGTCCAAAACAATATCCATGTACATAATGTCTGGAGGAGGGATATTTGAGGCCTGAATCAGTGATAGAACAACCATCGAGCAGCTGGGCGCACAAAGCGCCGAACTTAGCAATAAAGTACAGAACATTCTGTAATCCTCTGGTCATCATTTCGTCATGCTGATTTGACTCAATATTGAGCAGTGATTATGATATTGTTTTTGATGTTCCAAGACTTTTGAGAGCAAGAATCTGTCAAGAACGAGTGTCAGCAGCGGTCACTAGCGACGGACAACTGCCTAGCACAAAGGGAAACTTTTTCAAATTTTTCTTTTATTCCACAGAAATGATGCCCACGTTTGCCCACCTCCTGCTTCTGCTGGCCTTTGCCTCAATTGCGTGCGGCCTCGAGAAGACTTGGAAGTTCACAAGAGTGAGCGAAACCGTAATCAATAACAGCAGCAAGAAATCCGTGCCGTTGTCATGGATCTCGGCGACAGCCCGCGAATCGAGGAAGGGGAAATATCGCCTTGTGTGTGAGGTGTCGCTGGATGAAAGTTGGCTACTGAACGCTTTCGCCGTGCCGTACAATGAAGAACTTGTTCCAGGCCCAAAGTATAGCTGCCAAACCAACCGAAATCCCGCGAATATTTTAACAGCTCAATCTGGAATCTCAGTTTATGCCTGTACTCCTCGGGCGGTGGGGCAGATTCACCGCAACCCCTCCAACTTACTCGACGGAGTTTACGCTGGAGATCGAGACGGATGTTACCATTCCAAAAAGGTGAATAATCCTTACATCGTCTTCAACTTGACTCGCACTGTGGCGGTGAGAAACGTGGCGATGGTCTCTTTCTCTACCTCCAGCAGTGAAGACACGTTTCAAAATCTGGACATTCGTGTTGGAACCGCCCCGGCGACAGGCAACTTCTCCAGCTACGAGCAGTTGGCTTACATGGATGGCATGGCACCACGTCCATCTTACGAGTACACATCCAATGCCACTAAGCCCGTCTCTTATACACATCTAGAAGATCGTAGNTAACTGGCCTACAGGCCTAACTGGCCTACAGGCCTAACTGGCCTACAGGCCTAACTGGCCTACAGGCCTAACTGGCCTACAGGCCTAACTGGCCTACAGGCCTAACTGGCCTACAGGCCTAACTGGCCTACAGGCCTAACTGGCCTACAGGCCTAACTGGCCTACAGGCCTAACTGGCCTACAGGCCTAACTGGCCTACAGGCCTAACTGGCCTACAGGCCTAACTGGCCTACAGGCCTAACTGGCCTACAGGCCTAACTGGCCTACAGGCCTAACTGGCCTACAGGCCTAACTGGCCTACAGGCCTAACTGGCCTACAGGCCTAACTGGCCTACAGGCCTAACTGGCCTACAGGCCTACAGACCTAACTGGCCTACAGGCCTAACTGGCCTACAGGCCTAACTGGCCTAACTGGCCTACAGGCCTAACTGGCCTACAGGCCTAATTCACATGATTCAACGTTTCACATTTTGCAAAAACTCGTGTCCTAACACCCCAAAGGATAGGTAAGAATCTCATTCCTTAACGAGTGCGTATAACCGACTTCAATTTATTTAGTTGATTAATATTAAGAGTAATGCTCTAAGAGAAATAATATTTTTTCATCACAACGAATTGCACAAGAGTTTTTCTTTCTTGAGCGGATGAGCGGTACAAGTCACAATGTATGGCCAGATCGTTTTTAACAGCTTACTGAACTTGCTGATTAATTGATGGTTATGATACAGGAACTAAGATTAACGTGGTGGCCAGGCAATGGGTTTAGTTTGTGTCTGTGATATTAAGACAGATTAAGCTTCAAGTCAACGAATTTGAAGTACATTTCTTAAACTTTGACTGCTATATATGAAGTACAAGGTCCTTATGTGGGTGATGATTAATTTAAGATTTTGATAAATTGAGACATGCCTCGCTGGCGATGTTATATTTTGACCTCCGGTACGAAACAACTTTATAGCTGAAGCGCTTGCAAACCATTCTACTACTATTAGGAGTTGATAGAACTGTACGGATCCGGAAAGATCGAACGTGCGTGTCATGAAACTGAGGCAGGTTCGACGTTCAGGCGAACGGCATGCTATATATAGTGCAATTGCTTTGCGACCGCGAGACGAACCAAGAAAACTTTTCAAAACAATCGGCGTTAATTCACTAAACAAAAGAAACTAGGCATAATCTAATAAAATTTTGACAGTAATTTCTTGTATCTCGGAAGACGAAACAGAAATATTCCTGTTACGTGTAACAATGAAGCAAGCTTTAATTCACTGAGAACAGTGATGCTCAAGCTCATAAGTTGGCAACAAGAGCAAAATTTCTGGTTAAGCTCAAATTACTATACAGTTGCGAAACGCAAAATTAATATAATTTGCCTATTTGAAACCAAGAAAGAACACACACAATCAAAATTATAATTGTTGCAAATTGAAAATGTCTAAACTGGCGAGATTAAAATTGCGCATTGCTCTATTTGAAACTGAAGTTGAACATACGAGGTTAAGATATCATAGCCGATTTAGAACTTAGATTACAAACGCATTATCAAAATAACATTACCGACTTAAAGTAAAGCCAAAGTTAAACAAGAAAGATTAAGATAACATTTCCGATTTGAAAGTAAAGGTAAACAGGCAAAAATTACTTAACTCAAAATTGTGATTGGAATGACCGTGCATGTGTTTAAGTGTGTATGTCGAACTCATGCTCATTGACCAAGTTAAGCCCGATTGCTGATTTTATTGGATGTAAATAACAAGCCGATTGCTTTTAATCTTCACTAGCTTCGTTATCTGCAAAATCGAAATTATTCCCCAAATAAATTGAAATTATGGCTTGACTATATTAGCTTATGTTGGCTCGCTGAGAGGCCAAAGAGCTGGAATGTCGAATCCATGTCTGGATAACTGAAAAAAAAGTTATATACAATGTGCTTTTGCAGTACAAGTTCTTAGGGAACTTTTCTAACTTAATTAGTGCACGACAGTAAAGAGCGAACCATCAGCGGATGAAAATACAGGTAGCAGCGGATATATAAGAAAGCAAAACATTAGCGAATACTATAAATTTAATCGATCTTGAAATACAGTTCGTGTTCCCAGCCGTACTGAGTGAAAATGTCAGCGGAATAATGCTTCTGTGTGATTTATTTCGTTGTCCGGATACTTGCAATGCTGAATAACTTGGCAAGTGTCGAAAAAAAGTATTTTGTCACCTTTATATTAGTTTCTCAGTCATAATGCTAGCTTCGTCACCCAGAAGTTAACAGCAGAGTAATTTTCATACATCAACAGATTCTTACTTGGAAATGATAGATTTTTNACACGATGTGATGTAATAGTTAACTCAAAAACAAAATGACAAAACACGTAACCTAACTATCTATGAAATTATTATATTTAAAGGCGGTCCCTAACAGTGTCACTACATAACATCAGCATCACGACAAAGTACATATAGTACAAGTATAAGTACACTGCCTCGGTCTCAATACTCTGCACCATGTCGATATTCATTGCATAGAATAGCATTCAGTGTCATGTTCTGTGGAATGCAGTGCGCGGCTTACGAATTTCGCCGAAATAATCAACAGATGATTATAAAGAACGTCAAAAACTTCCAGAAAACTGCAGTGAAAGTCTCTTGAAACTGCAGCTCTCGCATGTAAAAGTTCTTGGGTCTATGCTCATATGCTCATATGGCCACATCGCAGATCATGTCGATATCGTCCAGCACGCACAATTTTGAAACAACTTCCATCAAATAAACATTGATGCCAGTTCTGCTAAAGCATATGATTCCTGTTCTGGTTATGACTTGGTAATGATAGACACTCTAGCATGTGAGGTTAGTGGAACTGAATGGAGTTGGTTAGACGACTGCAGGAAATCAAGGTTAACAAACTGTCGATGCTGGTACGTGGAATATTGCAGCTGGTAATGCTGATGGTGGTAGGCATTATTGAAACTGACTGGGGTTGGTTAGACGACTGCAGGAAATCAAGGTTAAAGGCAGTCTGCCGATGCTGGTTGGTACGTGTCTTCTGGGGCAGCAGGTAAACGTTGTAATAATCGATGGAAAATATTCAATTAAAAACAAATTGTGTGCAAAACTTCGTCATTGCTCTGAGTAAAATACACTAATCGCTGAGTTTAACTTGAGTTGTTTCTATGCTGTCTACTGTTAAAATAAATAGGATAAAATTAATGTTTGAGGCATAATAATATGGACAGTTGTTGACTCAGGCTTCAATGAGGTCGAGTTCAAGAAAACGAGTGAATAATTGATAACAAATTTCTTATCACCTCAAAGGAACTGGTCAGTAGTATCGGGCACGTGAAGAAAACCTCAGATGTTCACTGGGATTTAACTCAATGTTTTAGTTCATGGATTTTCCTATGAATTATTTACACAATTATATTAATGTTCAAATTAAAGGCAACGATACTTCGCACTGATGTTCACTACCTTCGAACATCGCAATAGACAGAGTCATAATGCTAGCTTCGTCACCCAGAAGTTAACAGCAGAGTAATTTTCATACATCAACAGATTCTTACTTGGAAATGATAGATTTTTAGAACAATTTGTTGAAGTTCAGTTCCATAACGTCTCAATTATATTACTTGCGCTGCTTAATTCTGAAATTATTTTAAATATTTAAGGTGCATTGTAGGTGAGTACATGCATCAAAACACAACAACCATTCAACAATTTATAAACGTACAGGCCTGCAGGCCTAACCTCCACAAAACGAAAATTTTCAACACTCTACTAATTTCAGAAGTCGTTATCAACATTTTATTCAGATATTTTATCTAAATGAAAAAATGTTATTTAGACATTTTATCTAAATAAAAAATTTAACTCGACAAAATCGAGGAGGGTATTTTCCGTGTGTAGAAGCTGGCGTACGTTTCAACGCGTTGACTCCGATTGCTTCATCTTGTACTATTATTTCATTTTTGTTCGATTATGAAACAGGGTTGCCAGATGATCTTTTTTTCGGACAAATTCCGCGATTGAGTTTTCTTTTTCTATTGCGTTGGCCGACTAAAATTTATGATAGGGGTACTTCGTGATTAAATTAGAATAACTGCAAAAAAAATATTAGAATTTTTGCACCGAAACTTATAAATATACTAGTATATATTAAGATATAGCCTTTTTTGTTAGCGGACTTGGCCGTTTATAGCGCATTTTCTCATTTATGAAAAAAAGCACTATTGTGCTCGCCATGTCCGTCTGTCTGTCCGTCCGTCCGTGACCTAAAGTTTTCGTCGACGAGAAAATGCGCTCTCTGCCACTCACTGCAGTGAGTACTGAGTTATATTTTTTAGGCCACCTGGCAACCCTGAATTATGCACCACTACATCTTGGAGAAATACACCTCGTGGTACGCATATGTACTACTTCGGAGTCAACGCGTCAAGGGTACAATTCTTCAACACTGGAACCTGCAATGCTCATGACCAGAGGTTGAATGGTTGCTTACACATTATTAGTGGGCATCACATTCCAACATAAAGCTATCATACACCAACATCAGTGTCACGACACGCATCAGTGTCACTACACCACATCAGTGTCATTACACCACATCAGTGTCACTACACCACATTAGTGTCACTACACCACGTCGGTGTCACTACACCACATCAGTGTCACTACACCACATCAGTGTCATTACACCACATCAGTGTCACTACACCACGTC